TGAGAGAGAGCATGAGAGGGGGGAGGGTCAGAGGGAGAAGCAGGCTCCCCGCCGAGCAGGGAGCCCGACGCGGGACTGGATCCAGACACTCCAGGATCATGACCCAAGCCGAAGGCAGTCACTCAACCGACTGAGCCACCCAGGCGCCCTCTCAAACCCTTTTTACTCCAGGTGAGTCCTCAGGCCAAACCTGACCGCAGAAACGGTCCTTTGGGTGAAAGCAGCCAGATATACAACAGTACATACTGTTTGGTTCCATTTATAATGAAGCTCATGAACAGGCAAACCTCAACTGATGCTGGGAGAAGTCAGAATAGTGATTTCCTGGGGGAGGTGGGGATTCGGGGAAGTAGGAGTAAGCAAGGGCATGAAGGAGCCCTCTGGAGTGACAGAAACTTTCTGTACCTTGATCTGGGTGGTGTTTACATGGACGTGTATATGTAACAATTCACTGAGCTGTACACTTCAGATATGTTCCCTTTATGCACCTCGTTATATGTATGGCATACCTCAAAGACATCTGCTATTAATCTGTGCTTTGGTCTCAGATGCTGGTGTATTCTACCACACAAGGTGTCTTCACAGAGACATCGGCGCCCTTTAGACTAGCAATGTGAGTCAAGGCCTTGTGGGTCTTCACAGAACACCCATTCCTGGTATATCAAGAGACCAGTCACCTGGCTTTAGTCTCAATCCTCGATCAACCAGATGTCACTCACCCTAAAACCCCCTAACAACTGATAAACCTGCCTCAGACAATCCTGCTTTTGCAGATTCTTGTGACCATCTTGCTCACACATGAATGAGATAGTAACAGACACTTATTATGCACAATGCAGTTGACTAATCTGGTCTACATTTTCAAAGGTCTTAAAATACAACATTATTATATTATGTCTTTTGGATAAGTCTCTAACAATAGTCTATTGGCTACTGGGCACACACTCAATTTCTCTCAAATAGTTAATGCCATCATTAATTATTATCCAACAGTTTAAATAGTACTTTAGCACACATTGCTTTGAGAAGCGTGGCTAGGAAGAAATGAGCTAAGCGTTAATGAATTAAGAACGTAGGGTTGAGTGATCTTTCACAGGAAACCATCCTCCCTGAGAAATCTTTACCTTTACCAAGATAAATGACTTCGACGTCAGTTAGGCCAGCTTTCCAGGTTCTAATTAGGAAGCTACTGACTAGAACTTTGAAATGTTATAAACTTGATTTGTGTTACTTCATACAACACAAATTGAGCTAATTTGCTCTAAGGACAGGAGAGGTTTGTGATACAGTCCCGATAAATCAGGCCAATGAACAAAGACACGAGTGAAAGGACAATCATTCTTCAATAAATGAACTCAAGGTTTATTTCAAGGAACTACACGATGTGGTTCTCCAGTGAAATCCATCGGAAACCATGGTAGATAGCCAACAAATTCAATTAATTAGAAAGGCAAAAACACTCACTGGAGTAGCAGAATGCTACGGACATGGGATATCTGAGAAGATGCTGGCCACAGGGTCTGCCCCACAACTTTGCAGCCCTCTGCCCTTGGAGAAGTCATTCAAGCTCTCGAAAACACGGAAGCACCATGAATTATAAAGCACTATACTCCGTGAGGGCTTTGAGAGCTTCCTAGCATCTCACCCCAAACTGAGTAGTATGAGCATGGAAGATATTCAGATTCAGAGAATGGTAACACCAAACTTCACAGAGATTATCGGGCAGTACACCCAGCTCATTTGAAAAATTAGAAATAACAGCCACTTCTTATGGACTGTTTACTACGTCCCAGGCACTGTGCTTTATTCTTATCACTTCACTTCTCACAAATCTAGGAGTTAGTTACCATTTACAAGTAAGGAAACTGCAGTTACGAAGTCAAGATGTACACTGGGATCTTTCTCCCAAATCTGAAGCCTGCACCATCTCCCACTCTGCTAGATCAACCCGAGAGAGATTAAAACATGTTTATCTGAATAACATGCCTAATTGGGGGAGGGGCGGGGCGGGGGGATGGGAGGTGGGGTGCCATTGCGCTAACTGTGCTTATTCACCCTTATGCGCTTGAGAATTTCAAATATTAACCATCTAAGTTAGAAGGCTCTAAGTTATCTAATATTGGAGTCAAGGGCCTGATGCTCACCTGAAATACGTTTCCCACCCCATCCTGGGCCAGAGCAATGTTCTCAGGGGAGAAAAGATTTGGTGTCTAAATGCCTGGGCCAGCTAAAACCACATGGCAACAAGGCGCCGTCCTCATTACAGAATCAATTCTGACTTCAGGGTAGGTGAGGTAGGAACACAGCCCCAAGTTCATCCTGCCCCAACAATGGTGCAGGCCATAGTTCGAGCCTGACCCCTTTCCCCAGCGATCAGTGCTTTCTCTTCATTCTCAGCCCAGGGTGTTAGGGTAGAGTTGGCTCCACTGGGTTCAGTGGTGAAGCACAGGACCAGGGCTTAAAGGGTTTCATGTGCCTCTGGCCACGTGACAGATTCGGATGTGCACACGTTGCAGCCTGGGCCAATGGGATGGAACAAGACTGACATGGCTGGACCAAGATGCTCACGCTCTCTTGCTGGAAGGTAGATGGATGCAGGCCTGGCAAGTGCTGACAGCCACTCTGCAGTTCCGGGGGGAGGCATGCCTGAAATTGGAGTCAACACACAGGAAGTGGAGGCAGGAGGGGAGAGAGAAACCAGATCCTGAGGACCTCATTTGGGCCCCTGAGCGGACTCCAAATTTATCTCTGAATTGGTCAGTGATGGGAGCCAATAAATTCCTCTCTGACTTAATCCAGCCTGTGCTCGGTTTGGACTCATTACTTGTGACCAAGGGAGCACACGACTGTGCGTGCACGCGCACGCACGCACACACACGAAGGCTCACTAAAGGGTCACCTGCTCCCCGCTGAACTGTGAGCACCTTGTGGTCAGGCACGGACTTCTCACTCCTGTTCACGTTCAGGGAGTTGGACTGATCCTCGGCACATTCTGAGAGCTCCAAATATAGGAATTAAATAGGTCACTTCCAGGCTTTACAGAGCAAAAGTGACACCCGAAGCAGAAAATAACAAAAATCAGAAAACAACAACAAAAACAAATAAAGGGCAAAGCCGTATACTGATCATTTATTCATCAGTTTGGGTTTATTCCCACTGTGTTCCCACCCCCACCCACAAAGCTGCCATGTGTTATGTGGCCCACTACCTACTCTTCATCCCTGGATCTTCTCCTCCTAGGAAACAGCTTTAAAAGAAGACAGGAATGAGTTCATATCTTGATCTAACCCTTTTATATATGAAAAAAATGGGGTAATGCTAAATACTTCAAGATCTCTATAATACATAGAAATCACTGAAACCCTAGAAATCATCATATGGCATGTGCTCACTGATAGTACCGGGTTTCTTACTTCTGATGCCCCTGAAAAGCAAAGAGCCGTGAGTTAGAGGCAAAATTTAAGACCTTAGTACAGAATCTATCCTACAGCTCATGTGGAGGAAGGAATAAGAGTTGAGCCCTAAATTTTCAGCCCAGACTCCTTGCAGAGTGAGGTGAGGGTAAGACACAGAGCAATCTGCCCTATACTCCCTACATAATGAATTTTGGAAACTTTCCTCTCCAAATGAAATCTTAAGTGCAACCTTACATATACGCACGCAGGAGGGCAGGGAGCTGCACCGCAGGTAACAGTGGGAGGGCACAGTTCCTCTCTCCCTGATCTCTCATCCCAGCTCCAGACCCTTGCAGCACCCCCAAAGGACCTTTGAGGCCCGCCCTAGTATCCTCTCATTGCTTCTCAGAAGACACAAAAATCAAGACATAAGCAGCAAATTAATACACGGTTGAAATTCATGGCTCAAGTGAGTGTTTAGAACCATTTCCATTTTCCTTGGCTGAAAAGGCCAGATACCCACAGGCTATGTGAAAAAGAAAACACAGACAATGGTCCAAGTAATTCAGCCTGAAAACTTACTCTGCTCCAACCAGAGAAACTCAGGTCCTAGGAAAAGCTGAACAAGGAATTTAGATGAACCCAAAACGGGGCTTCAAAGGCTAGGCGGACAGGTGCTCTGACCTGGGTCATACCCCTGTCCCCTGATCTTGTCCCTAGAGCCCTGTCCCTAATAACTCACCTAAAAGCATACCAGCTGAGCCTAAGACGTTTCAACCGGTTTTTAATATTTTTGTCCGATCTTTTGTAAACTGCATTTCTAGTGCTAAGCCGGTGCAGAAATTTATCTTGTAGTTGTACGTGCTGACACAGCAGTCATCAAGCTTGTCTTTGAAAAGAACGGTCTTCCACCTCTGGAGGAAAAGGCAGAAAAGTTCCACTGTTAAGCGAGATATTCTGTATTTATGGCATGGAATTCCTTCCACAATTCCCTGCTTGCCCCTCACTGCTCTGGGACTCCTTCCCAGGATGTCCTTTTGGGATTGTTCTATTCACTGCCCAATTCAGCAAAACGTAGCCCTTACTTTCTCAGCATAAATATAAAAGTCCTTTGGCTCTTATAAAGTTCAAAGGCAAAATGGACAGCTCTTCCTGCGGCGGAAAGAAAAATGAGCCCATTTCTTCTGGTCGCGATTTCCAAATCAGAATGGACAAAGATTCAGGACCACAGGAAAAAGAGGCCTCATACTTCCAAAAACCCATCAAAAGGGGAATTTTCCTGAAAAAGAGAACGTCCACAGATATTCACTAAATGAACATGCTGGGCCTGTTCCCGAGGGAGGACAGAGAGCATGTGGTCCTTGCCCTCAAGGCTCTTCAGTCTGGCGGACAAGGCTGAGCTCCATAACAAGTCTGTTTCCAAACACTTTGAGGTCAAGGACAGATGTTCCTGCAGAAGACAGATCCTGGAGACAGGCTGGAGAGACAGAATGAGGACCTGGGTGGCCCCACCTTAACTGAAAGGTTTCTTAATAACTTTCTAGCGATGAGAGTGACAAAGGAGAGCTTATGGCAAGACCTAGTGCCTGATGAGTTAAATGAATTCACGTCTAAGCCCAGGCGATGTCTCCAAGTTGTTTGGTTTCTTTGTATGTTTTTGAAATACCTGTCCTTTATGTCAATAAAGATACACAGTACAGCATGTGGAACATGCATGAGGCAAGGTGCCACAGGACCTGGAGTCTACGCTCAACTCTGCCACCACTAACTTGTTATGAGCCTGGGTGAATCCCTTTCTCCTCAGAGATACTCCCTATGCTCATTTCAAGTCTAAGATTCCAGTTTGGTACAAGCACACGGTCTTCCATCCTTTCACATAAAGCATTTCCTCTGAGACTGTTTGCGTGGCCCTTGTGACCTTGGGACCAGCGGCTCAGATGGCCCTCAGGTACAGACACTCCCCCCACACACACACCAGAGCACTAAGCAGGACCAGCCAGAATCTGTCTTGTTATCATCTCAGGACACCAGGGTTCCAACCCTTCCTGCCTCCCACCTCCATGTCACCTGGCAATCTTGCAAATTCTTGAGACCAACTACCTCTATGGGGAAGTACCCATCTGAAAGGCCACCAACCAATGCAGCCAAAAAGAACCGAATCCCAAAGTTCTTCGACCTCTTCCCCTTGTCCAAGAGTAGATCAATTCGCTCTTAGGGCTAACTTTCTGAGGAGGCACATACTCCTTTAAGCGCCTTTCTGCTCTATTTCTGCAAGTCACATCTATTGGCTGAGGTGAGGAGAGGCACTAGTCCTTTACTGGCAACCAAATCCAGAAACTACGGAAAAGAAGGGTCTCTGCCGGCAGGGCCCACAACCACTGATCTGAATAGGGGGTTTGCCAAGAAGCCCAGAGGCAACCACGGAAGTAGGAAGTCTGAGTGGCAGGTGGATAAGGAACACATGGAAGACAGATCAAGGCTGCAAGTCCAGGATGGCAGCCTGGGTTGGGGCCAGGGACAAAAGGTCCGTGGGCAGGGGACACAAACCTCTCCAGGCCAGTGCTGCTCAACAGTCCTGCTAGCAAGGCTCCCGTGGGGCACCTGGTGGCTCAGCTAGTTGAGCATCTGACTCTTGATTTCAGCTCAGATCATGATCTTAGAGTCCTGAGATGGAGCCCCACCGTGGGCTCTGCACTCAGCAGGGAGTCTGCTGGAAATTCTCCCTCTGCCCTTCCCCCCACCACTTGCTGGCTTGCTCTCTCAAATAAATAAATTGAAAGAAAAGAGAAAAAGAGAAAGAAAAAAAGAGAAAGAGAAAGGAAGAAAAAAGAAATGCTCCCGGTGTGTGCTGTCTAATATGGTAGCCATGTGTGAACAAGGGAAATGTGGCTTGCATGACCGAGGAACTGAATTTTAAATTTTATTGTAATGAACTTACATTCTTATAGCCACAGGCAACTTGTTCATTCCAAAAAGTGTTGCTCTAAGCAATTCTCCCATACAGTGCACCCTCTGAGAGACAGGACCAAATTTCTGACAGGACAGATAAATGAACTGTGTCAATTATATCTCAATAAAGCTGGGGGCCGGGGTAGGGGAGAAGGACACACAAATGAACTATGGAGAAGCACCTTAGGTCAGCCCCCCCATAAGCAAAGAGCCTGTGTGCTTCGACGGAGAGGGGAGCTACCCACTTTCTTGCCCTACACACCTAACACACCTAAACTTCCTACCTTCAGAAAGAGTAGGAGTAGAAATGGAGGATGTACAGAGGTGCAAATCAGGAGATGAAACTTGGCCTGTGACCTTGAGGAAGACCCCTTCTCTCTGAGCCAGAGCCCTCCATCACTAGGGCAAAGGAGCTGAACAGGCAACCTCAAAGGCCCTCTCCAGCTCTAAGATTCTAAGAATGTGCACGCCACTTCATCAAAATTAAGAACTTTTGTGCTCAAAGGACACCAAGAAGTGAATGAAGAGACAACCCACAGAAAGGGAGAAATGTTTGCAAATCCTGTTATCTGATAAGGGACTGGTATCCAGAACGTATAAAGAACTCCTACAACTCAAGTATAACAATGCATGCTGTTTCTAAACAAGATGACAAAATACAGAATAACCTGAAAAAAATTGAGAACCTGACTATATACACATAAAAACACAATTCATGAACAAATGAACAAAAAGCATGCATGTTAAAAATAGTTACCATTAAGTGAACAACTACTAGGTGCCAGGAATTTTACTTAAAAGACTTATCCAATAAAAATTTTTAAAAAAATAATCAATTAAAAAAAAGACTTATCCTCATAACAAAGTAGATTTTATGGATAAGGAATCTGAGGCTCAAGATCACACTGCTAGTAAATGAAGGAAAAACAATTCAAACCTTGGTCAGTACGATTTCAAAGTCACAGTCTTTCCACAATGCTGTCCTTCACCACTGAGTTGCAGGGTAAGTTTTCAGAATTAAAAAACAATAAAACTCTTATTTCCTTCTGAAGTCTTATATTCAGAATTTATGCTCTCTGATGGATAATTTTTATGGCTTTTTAAAATTGTAGGTTAATTGGGGAATATGTGCAGTTAATAGAGATTCTAATTAGACAAATGCCACATAAATACTAAGACCCTCAAATTGTGAGTTTTCTTTCTACCTACCAAAATATGTCCTAGATATATCTATCTGTTTCATTCAAAACAAGCAGAATGCAGACCAGAGATTGTTAGAATGAGCTCTTTCTCCTAAAGTGGGAGAAAATATCTGCCCAAAGCCTGCTAAGATTTGCCAGTTTTTGCCTTATAGCATGACTTCAATTATCTGAATTTTGATATTTTACCATTAAATGGCTATAGATTCTAGATCAAATGTAATAAAAAAAAAAAAACAAGCATTCTCTACAATAATAAAATTACCATAACTTCTTAAATGGGCAAAGGGTTGGGGCACCTTGGTGGCTCAGTCAGTTAAGTGTCTGACTATTGATTTCGGCTCAGGTCATGATCTCAGAGTCATGAGATCGAGCCCTGCATTGGGCTCCACACTGAGCATGGAGCCTGCTTAAGATTCTCCCTCTCCCTTTCTCTGCCCCCACTCACACACACTCTAAAAATTTTTAAAAACAGACAAAGGATCTGAATAGACATTTATCCAAAGAATATATACAAATGACTACTTAAGCACATGAAAAGATGCTCAGTATCATTAGTCATTAGAGAAATGCAAATCCACAAGGATATTACTACTTCACATCCACTAGGATGGTTAGAACCCAAAAGACGGTAACAAGTGTTAGCAAGGAGAAACTAGAACCCTCACACACCACTGGTGGGAATATAAAATGGTACAGCCACTTTGGAAAATAGTTTGGCAGTCGCTCAAAATGTTAAAGTTACCATATGACCCAGCAAGTTCCACTCCCAGGAATATACCCAAGAGAATTAAAGACATAAGTTCACACAAACACTTGTACACGAATGTCCGTGGCAGCATTCTTCATAATAGCCAAAAAAAAATGTAAACAACCCAAATGTCCAACAATTGAGGAAGGGATAAATCCAATGTGGCATATCCCTGCAGTGGAATAGTATTCAGCCACAAAAAGGAATGAAGTACTGATACACATTATAACATGGATGGATCTTGAAAACCAGCTAAGTTTTCATAGATGGATTGCATATTATATAATTTATATAAAATGTCTAGACTAGGAAAACCCACAGAGACAGAAAGTAGCTTAGTGGTTGTCTGGGGCTGGGGAAGTAAGGGTTGGTGGGAAATAGGGAGTGATAGCTAACGAGTATGGGGTTTCTTTATGGGCTGATGAAAGGTTCTAAAATTCATTTTGATGATGGGTGCACCACTGCGAATATAGTAAAATCCCCTGAATTAGAGAATTTAAAATGGTGAATTGTAGGGTATGCAAATTATCAAGTATGTACATGCCATCATCCCATCTACTTAGCAGAGACCAGTTCTATTATTTATTGCCCCCAGGTCCCAATGCCAGGGGCCAGTGACCAGTGGTGGTCATGTGAACCCAGCCACAAAACACTGACTTAAGTCAAAGATGCTCCACTTACAAACGAGGAGACTATTTTTAAAGCTGTCTTTGTTGTCTTGCACAGTTTCTTAGGCAGCCGGGGTGGAGCTCTTTGCTGTTGCTAAGATTAAAATGTTTAACTGGTATCAAAAGTACATTTTTCAAAAAAGGCAAGAAGAAAGAAATCCAGAAACTTACATCTTCTTCGTAGTCAAGCCCAAGGAGCCCTCCTGGGAACTGAATCCTGTCTGCTTGGGTAGAGCACCCGAATGACAGCTGTGAACAGTCCATTCATTACATCTGTTCCCAAGGACCCTGATCATAACCCCCCAGAACCCCACGACAGAGTCCCCAGACTCTGGGGTAACATTAAAATGTGCCTTGCCCGGGATGGGGAGAGGCCTTTAAGAACCAGGCTCTTGTGGGGAGTGAAACATCTCACTTGACCATTTTTCTGGGGCCAAGGGCTAAAGAGCAGAGCCTAGGTGGAAAAATTCTTGGCATGAAAAGAAAGTCTAGCAGATGGAGAGACTGCAGACTTAAGAAGAAGGACTGAAGCAGTGAGGCTGTTCTGTTTAATAAGCACACCAAAGTCATGTAAATAAGTGTCATTCCCTTGGAAGTAGTAAGCTTGGGAAGCAGGACACCTAATTTTAGTAATATGGCCGTTCCTCAGAACATTTCCAAAATGCCACCGTCTGACCCTCTTCGAAGCCCATGACATTCCTCTCACCTCTCAAGATCCTCAAAGATAAGAAAACTGGGTTGAGGGTCGATGTGATTTTCTTACGAATAACCTTTAAGAAAAGGCTGTGAATAAGGTCAGTGATCAACCTCAATCACCCCATTTTTAGCCAGAAGCAAAGCAAAATGAAAAGCAGAAACTGACTCTGGAAGCAATTCTGAAGACAAGCATTCCAGCATCACTGGGATGAGGTACTTTATACCTCAGTAGCACAAGAGTAAGTACAAAGTACAAGAATAAGTACTTGGGGGGGGGGGGCACTGTGTTTTTCAGTGTGTACGTTCGGTTATTTTCACTAAGCAGTCTACCAAAGGGGGTGGGGGTGTCAGGCACATGTTCATGCTGTCATCCTGCTCCCAGGTTGCAAAGAGACACCGTCAGGCCTAGGTTAAGAAAATAGTCAAAGCAATTAAAGCAACCTCAGGGTGCCTGATGTAGACATAGTGATGCTTCATTAAATAATCAATCATTTACCAAACTGCCCATGCCAGGAGGTGGAGGATAAGACCGAGGCAAGGCTGGGTCCCTGCCCACAAGAAGTTCACACTCTTGTTAGAAATCAGAGAACAGCACAAGATCAAACGCAAGCAAGTCTGTGGGTCAGAGGACCCGGCTGCTTCCACCCCACGCGCTGGTCTTGAACTTCCACAAAGAACACACCACCTGATCTCACTGTTCCAGCTTTAGCACGCCTCGCGCACACCAGAATGAGTCAGGACTCGCGCAGCAGAAGCTCCAGCCTCGGATGACCGCCCCGCTGCAGGCTGGGACTACACTCATCATTTCAATTTTTCATCACAGACCAAAGGAAGAGAGACCTAGGAACAGAGTGAAGATGTGATATCATATATACTCCATTCACCCGTAGAACCGGGAAATACCATTTGTTTGCCTCCAGGGCTGCCTGGGTCACAAGCCTACCCATTACTGGGCAGAATCGTCTGTGGTTTGCATTTCATGAGCCCCGTGAATTCCACAACTCTCAAGGAGCTCAAGGAACAGTCAGGACTTCAAATAACAGCTGGTCTTTGAAAATCGTGAAGGGTGGCGGTGGGTCCCTGGACGTTGGACCCGACTGGTTTTGTTCTCTGCCCACACCTCAGCCTCTCCCCGGCACCGGTCACCGCAGCGGTGCTGGCGGGGGGACTTTTCTTCCGTGGGGGGCCCACGTGTAGCACTGGCATCACGGGGAGACAGGAGCGGATCTGGGACTCAGCCTTGCACTGCTTTCCAGTGGGATCCAAGGAAAGGGGAAGCCGGGGCCTCTCCTTAGAGTGACTCAGCCTACAAGAAGAGCGTTGCTTTGTACGTGTACACTGCTTTCCAGACTACAAAACACTTTCACACACATCCGTTGAGCTTTCACTCCCTACTTTATGACCAGGTCGGAAAGCAGGGATCACACGGAGAGCATGAACTCAAGGCCACAACACCTGCCTTCAAGTTCAGCGTTCTCCCACGCCATGCCTCAGACACACAGCGGGGCAGAGCCCCGAAGCAGCGCAGCGTGACCACAGGACCTGTTTATAATCTCAGGGGCTTGGAGTAATTCAGTTAATCCCTCTGAGCTTCATTTGCCTTATCTGCACGACGGAAGTGCCAGTCCTGGTGGCCTGACTGGTTGCTGAAGACCAGACAAAATAGGGGGAAAGTGCTCAGCCTGGTGCCAGAAATCAAAGGGTGCAAAGTGCAAGGCACAGGCCCCACGAGCTGACTGCACACACTCATCCGAAACGTCAGTGTGGCCGCAAATACCAACCTCAGAGCCCCCAAGCCGTACTTGGTCTTTCTGCTTTCAATCACTGAACACTATGAACCAGGCTCCCTGCTGCTGCAAATGCTGACCTCAGCTCGTGGGCAAGCTCAGCAGCGGCCTCTCCACAGCACCACATGCTCCGCTGCCAAGACCAGGCCCCCACACGCCTCTCTCTGGGCTGCAAGCAAGCCCCGAGCTGGGAGCAGCGACCAGCCCCTAGCTGAAGAACAGGCAAGGGTATGCCCCTCGCCCCACCGCCATGCACTGGGCCACAAGGGCCAAGAAGTGCGATGCTCACAAGAGCACAGGGATTTAGCAGGCATGGCTTGTAAGTGGGATCTGAAACCCCCCACAGCGCTCCAGCAGGGGAATTCAGAGGGTCCCCCCATGCTCAGACACTGCTGACCCTTGAACTTCACTGGGAAGTAAGAGCCCCTCCCTTGAGAGCATTCCTGACCAAGTAAACAATGTCTTTGGTAAACTGCAGCTCACTCTTGTGTTCTTTTATTGACTCCTCACAAAGACTCCATGCTCCATAGGAGACAAGTATTATCATCCCCATCTTACAGATGGGGAAACCAAGAACAAGGGAGGGAAGAGAAGGTGTTCAGTCACAAAGCTAGTGAGCAGAAACCTGGGGCCCAAATCTAGCTCAATCCTCTGAAGTCTCTGCTCTCCGAAAGACAAGACAGGCTGAAGACAGGAAGTTGGGGAGGCAGATCCGGTCAGGCCCCAAAAGCACGAACAAGTGAGGCCTGAGGTAGAAGGAAGTTAACGGTGCAGGACCTGAGGCTCAGAGGGTTCCCTTGCCAAAATCACTTTTCATCCTGTCAACAACGCGAGGCAAGTATCCCCTCACTAGTCCCACGTCACAGGTGAGGAAACTGAGGCCAGGAACCACATGGCAAAGAGCCAGGGACAGCCAGGGTTCTAGTGAGCCTTAGTTCCGGCAAGTCCAGTCCCATCTGTAGGCCTCGGTCTCCTACCTGAATGACGGGCGGCCCAAGAACACAGTACGGTGGGAAAGGCCAGAGAGGTCTGCGTCCTACCTCTGCCCCTTCCTGGCTCTCAGACCTCCCACCCTCCCTGCCCCAGTGGGGCTGCCTGCTCTGTAAAGTGTGAGCAATACTCACAAGGTGGCCATGAGGATGAAATCAGATGCCCTGATGGGAGCATCTCCAGGGTGCTAGTGATGGTCGTTACTCCGATTCCAGACATCACCCAATCTTCCTGTCTGAGCCACGGCAGTCAGGCCGGCACTCTTGACACCTGTTTTGCTCCTTAGAGCTTGTTTTCTTTCCTCCTGAGTAACATTTAAATCAAGAGATGATCAGGGGTCTCCCACCTGGGCCGAGCAGGAACAAGGCACAGCTGATAAGCAGATTCCTAGTGAGCTGAGAAAGCAGTCTGCCGACACCCCCAAGCCTCACGGGAGGTTGTTGAGCTCTGGGCTTTTCTACCCTGCCTCAACACCACTCACTGTGTAGAGGCAGGCTTCAGCCTTCCCAGCTGTGGTAGAATCAGATCCTGACCATTCAATCAGCCCCTTTTCTTTCCTCGGTGTTCCCAGGGAAAGAAGCAACTCTTTTCTGTTGCCTAAGCAAAGGTGGGCTATGGTGCTGGCCTAGGTCTTCCTCCTGCTAACTTCTTTCGGGGAGGCTAATTTTCAGGCCCTTCCTCACCAGGGCCACCCAACACCCTCCAGGACCACTACTATTTTAGGCTGGGTCAGTCTGGTGAATCCACCTTCCACAGAATGGCTTTGGAGAGCAAACCCCCAGTGTAGCAAACCACCCGGGAAACTTCTCTGGTGTGGCTCACCCAGTCCCCATTCTGCCACAACCTCACCAGGTCAGGAGCAAGTAGGTCTGACTTCCCAAGCCCCAGCTTCTTCCTTGGGCTCCAAGGCTGAGGACAGCCGTCCCTACTTCACATGACTGTGCAGAGGCTTAAGGACATGTCACTGTGACTCACAGTCATAGTGACAACTCACAGTGACTCCATGTTTTCTAGGAGCCAGGATCTGGGATAACCCCCTTAAGCCACTTTATTTCCTCTTTTGCCAAAAAGGCACAGATTTGGTGAGAAAAAAACAGTTTGCTGGACACAGGTGGTGAACAGCAACACTGGGGACTACACCCGGTCTGACTCCAGAACCCATAACCCTGACTGCTTCATCCTACAGCTGGCCCGCGCTCAGCACAAACCTCTGACCCACACCGTAAATGTTTCTCACACTTTCCACTTGCAGGTAACGCTTTTCAAGAATTAAAATGCAATCAAATCTACTTCATACCCAAATTTAAACTTCTCTACTCATTTCCATTTTAACTGGGTGATTCAGAAGGTTGGCAGAGGGCTATGGGGGGTTGGTAAAACCTCCATCCACCCTGATTCTCTCCAGCCACAGCCCCCACCTGGAAATGCCTCCAGGTGGTGGGAATGAGGGGGCATGAAAAGTTTCTCTGCCAGCCCCCCCCAAACCTAGGTTCCAAACCCCAACCAAAATCACAAATGGGACACCTCCCCCAAAGACCCACCTGGATGTTCTGACACCGCTGTGCCCCCTGGCTTCATCCTCCTCTCCTCCGCATTAAGACGGCATCTGCATGAGCCTGGGCTTCCCCTCACAGCCCAGCGGAGGGGTGTGGGCACTTAAGTCAGAAAGCCCAGCTGTGAGCCCTGGCCCTGCCAATTCCTAGGCCTTGTAGCCTCATGTAAACAATTTAGCCACTCAGACAGAGCCTTTTCTCCTCACCTGTTCAATGAGGACTCCTCAGGTGTTTATGGTAAAGATTAAATGAGAATGGAAGGCTACTATGGATATGGAACCCCCCAGCTCAGGAGACATCAACCATGAGCTAGTAACAAAGGCAATGATCTCCATGCCTCCAGTTACTGTCAAAAGGCAGGGAATATGACCCACACTAGAACAAGGTAACAGAGGAACGGCTGGTGCTCTCCTGCCCTCCCACCAGCCAATGCCCTGACTCTTTCCATAAAATAATGTGGCTAAGTATGGCCAAATGATTCCTGCATGTTGGTACGCATGAAGAAAGAGAATAGTTTTCTAAAGTAAAACAGGAGAAGGAGTGATCAAAACTCTCTTTGGGAAGAGAAACCAAAAAAAAAAAAAAAATTCGAGGAGAGAATGAAAAGTCCACTGAATGTCCAGCATGCTATGAAGAGGCATTCTTTTGCCATCTAATGTCCTGGCTGTCCCAACTGCCCCTGGTAGTCTCAGACCCTGCCCAGTCATAGGGGAAGCGCCTGGCTTCACGTCGGGAGTCACAGCTGTAACTGGAGGGTGTGGGAAGAGACAGACTGGGAGACAGGAGACTGGGCCTAGGTCCCCACTTGGTTCCTCTCTCACCAGGGGACGCTGGGCAAGTCAGCTGCTGTGTCTGAAAGGAACACATCCATCCGAAGGTCTCTAGGGCCCTTTCGAATCCCACCCTCAGCCGGTCTGTGATTCACGTCCAGCACCACTCCGGGTAAATGAGAACCAGCCCTCTAACCTACCTATGGCAGCCCCCCGTGGTTTTCCCCAGCTTCCTGGCTGGCCAAAGGAACATAGAGCAGCACCTTCTCTACCCTGACCACACTAGGTCCCCCCAACCTGTCCTTCTAGGAAAAGACCTCTTCACCGCCCACCTCTTACCAAATTCTTGCTGGGTGTCACTACTTCCTGGAATTCTAATTCAGAACTGTAGATGTTTTCATTTCATTTCCTCCTGATAAAACCTCCGAAAAGAGCTTTAGATTGATTCACTATTAATTTCTATTTCAACAATTCAGAATTTGTGAAAGCCCGAAGAGAAGTTCATTTTTGCATTATCATGAAAAAAGGACTAAAGGGGCTAATTACTGGCTGGTTTTGTACAATTTAAAAGCAGTCATTTAAATATAAACAGTCATTATGCTCCACTGTTATCTTACTGAAGAGCATTCAAGGATGTCTTTTTAAAAAACATATTGGTCACTTCCTCACTTCACATCAGAGTAAAATAATAAACCACATCTCTTCAAGCATGAGGGGTTTGGAGGGGTTCTCTGCACTAATTCATAGTATCCTTTTATATTCTGACTTGTTAGGACAGGAAGCAAATGTGTTTAATGGCCTCTATTTTATACATAATAAACACTCAAAAAAGTACTTTATGCATGATTTCACAATAGCTGTGTTAAACTGCTTTGCCAGCTTCCCAGCTTTACTTCTCTAGTAATTTATACAATCAAAAAGCAAAGCTCTCCTAGAACACAGAAGAGCCTTCCTTACGCCACAGTTCAATGTTGCGCGCTCACCCTTTAGAAACTACGAATCCAGAGACCATCTGCTGGCAGGGCGTTTCTGACTCTTTAACAAAAGCACAGCGACGACGGGGCTCGCCATGCCCGACAGTGTACTTTGTACAAGGACCCACGCTGCACATTCCTCCTTGGATTCGGTTCCTAAAAAGTGCTTCTCTGAATGAATGCAGCTGCTTCCCATTGTTGAGAGGAGAAAAGCCTTGTAAGTTAGGATGTGCCTCCTTTGGCCACCACTGCTGGAAATCCTAAAGGCCAAATCAGTGCCCAGGTGTTTGGCAATTCGTTAGCTTCCAGCCCCCGGGGCAGGTCTACTTTGTTTTGATTTCACATTGCCCCATCTCGCATCAACTTTCCTTTCCTAAGCCACCTCAGAGCTTTTGAAAGTAGGCGCGGTGGGGGGGACATAAACCCTCTCATAAATATAACAGCGAGATTTTACTATGTGTGAAGATAAATAATTAATAACCAAAGAACATGGGACAGTAGAAACATAGCAGGTTACATATTTTTCTTCCCCAACGGAAAGGAACATAAAGGCAGTATTCATCTCGAACTGTAGCAAGCAAACACTCCAAAACGAAGAATCCATTTTTGGGTAAAGAACTTACTTACCTATTAGCTGCCTAGAATGAATGTTTCGCTTGAAAGCACTACCGTACCAAACCTGTGGTAAAGTACTTACTCCGAAGCAAGGGGAAGAATAATAAGCTTTGGGGCCTTTCATCTGGATCTGTGGGTTGAAAGAGATTAGGAATCTAGTGCTCAGAGTCTGTGGACTTTCTGCTCTAACCAGAGGCTCAGGATGCCTACCAAACATCCAAGAGGAAGGCTGAACCCTACTCCCAAAATTTCCCTTCCCATAGCCGAAGCTAGAAAACACATGAGGTCACTCATCAGAATTAAATGACAGCAGATCTCAAGGAGATGTGGGGGTGGGAGTTTAAATCGATACAAGCTTAGTGGAGGGCAATGTGGCAGTAAGTAAGGAAATTAAAAATGCACTGTCCTCCCACCCAGAGAGCTGACTCCTGAGTACTTATCCCAGAGAAATGTTTCCTTGTGTGCACAAAGAAGAGCATACAAGGATACTCAATGCGGTACTGTTTGAAATAGCAAAACTTCAGGAACTAACCTAAATGCTCATCAGAAAGAGAACCAGTCAGCCATGGCACACTCATACAGGGAATATTTTATACCAACACGAAGTTGTTAGATCTCTACACAGATATGGTAAGATCTGTAAGATACGTTACGTGGGGAAAAACGAAGCTATTTAACACATGCGTTCTGTTCCCACTTGTGTAAGATTTAAAATCCCCAAACTGTATAGACACACACTTCAAAATGCACAGACACAGACACCATGAAAAGCAGTTCTGAAAGGATCACACCAAACTGAGGACTGATTAGAATGAGCTGGAGGGGTAAAAAGGGGCTGTCACCTGATATTGTTTTCATTGTCTGGAAGAATCCATTTGTGCAAACCTTGAATGATGACTGGTTGTAAGAATGCAAGATATGGAAAACAAAGAGGGTAGCTCTCTGACCCTATGTGGTGGGTTTTCCTGGGCACAGTGAGCCACAGCGGCTCAAGCTACACAAGTCAGGGACACAGGAACCTGGTGTGCCCTGCCAGAGCAAGTCTCAGTAAAATATCTGTTGAATAATGGTGCCTTGACTTCCTGCCTCATAAACAAGGGTCCGTACAGCTCTACAAAATTATCTGTGAGCACGTTGTGCTAGACTTCCGCATGTACATAGGAGGCAGGGAAAGGTGGGAGCTTTCCACCCAGCCTGCTTCAAGGCCCCCCCTCCTTCTCTGGGTCCACCTGCCAGGCTCATTTTCCCTGAGCAGCCTGCAGCCTGCCTTTCCTCCCTCAGGTTAGCCTCCCATTTCCCTCCAGGCTGCCCCTCAAGATCACTCATTCAATAATTTCAACAGATGTCCTGTGATTTCTAGAATTACCACTCAGCCAATAGGGAGAAGGATAAAAAATTGGCAGAAAGAATTGCTTGGGGGTTCATTTTCCCCAGACTGCGCAGTGTCTGGGGCCCTGCTTAGTTAAAATCACCAGAAGGCTTCATCCTTC